AATCATTGCTTGGGAAATTTAACAGATTCGTTAGTTTCATAAAGAGAAACAGAAAATAGAAGAAGGAAACTATACACTGAACAGTTGGACGTAACGCTGAAAGCAGAAGTACGATCTCGAGTATACCTTGAGCTGGCAGTAATTAGATCTTGAACGAAAACGCGCGTATAAAGTGTCCGAAATGAACTTGACCGCCGTACAAAAGAACTAAACCCAAAGCAAAGAAAGAATAGAAAGAAAGAGAAAGGTAAAGAAATTTTGTTCTGTTCACAGCTCCTCCTCCGCGGAGACCTCGTACAAAGGCGGATCAACGTTCGCAGACAGCGTTCGAGGTGACGAGCACGGTCGCATCGCGGCCGTCGAGGACAGTAACAGTGGCCTTTAATAACGTAATCACCTAATTAATCTCGCGAACGCGAACCGGCCGTTCGCTCGCCTCTCCAATCATCGGCCGCCTCCATTGTTTCCCTTTCGACCCCGTCCTTTGTCCCTGGATCATCGAACATCGTCGGACTACGGTTAGGCGAACTATGGTGAAACTTCGGACAACCGCTGGCCGCCCCCTAGTTCGCAAGAGTAGATTGATCGAACAGACCGAGAAATTAAAGGCGAGCCGTAGAAGCTCGCAAGCTCGATGGCGCGGAATTAGGAAAGTTCGCCAACTGTGTCGACGATGTTTGGCCGAGGCGAACCTCCACGATCACCGTGGATGGGATGTTTGTTCCGTTAAGAGACGAAGGAGAATCCCCAGCAGCGGCGTGACACGCGCGCCGAAAGGAAAACGTCCGGATGGATTAGAGAGCCAGCGTGAACCGGAAACGGACGGTCGAACGGCCGGGCAGCCATTAATGCCGCGTTCGTGCGAACACACACCGCCACTCTCTCTCTATTCTTCTTCTTCCTCCTTTTCTATAACTCCCCTCTTCTCACCACTCCTCTCTTCTCCCTCTCGCCGTTGCATTTTTTCACATTGTTTTTTTTTTCTCTCCTACGCTCTACTGCATTTATTATAAAAATAAAATGTAAAATCGTACCGAGGACGAGTTTTCCGAACGGTATGGAACCGCGAGCACCATCTGCGACTCGATCGAGAAAGAATCCCCTTGGGCTCCGCCGGCAGCCATGTTTTGTCTCCCCTTCGTCCTCCTTTCTCATCTTCTTCTTCGATTATTTTTCATTTATTTGCTTCTTGTGTCGTCTATGACCGATGAGCAGATACTACTCTCCTTCTCTCACCGTGTTTTCTCTATTCGTGTAACACCTCGAAAAGAAGAACACCAGGAAGGTGCGTTGTTCCGTTTCATATTGTACTCAGCGTCCCCGGGCGTTCCGTTCGTCGACGCTTCGACAGCGGCTACAGGTAGTCCCTACACCGTTCCGCGAGAACCCGCGAAGTGAGTGCATATCTTGAATATAATACATAGGCTCTACAGATATATTCATTATCAATTCTCCGACTATACCAGTGAAAAAATAAATTATTACACGTTGGTAATATCTGTGTGTACGTGTTGGTGAAGTCGTGCGCGATTAAGTGTCCGCACACCCCGCCCTCCTCAGGTGTACTCTGTTTAGTTTTCTTTTTTTTTTGTTTCTCTTCGCGACAAGTATGGCAGGTATGGCCAGCAGCTGAGCGAGGCGCGGGGCGTTTCCGTGTGTTCCACGTGGGTGAAATGTATAGACTCGTGTGTTTCTTTTTTCTTTTTCTCTTTTTGGGTCGCCAGGTATATACGGGTGGGAGTGAGTGTGTGTCCGTTGCGTGTGTGAAATTTCTCTTCATTTTTTCTTTACGTACGTGTGTCTGTGTCTCTTGGCTTTTTCCGCTGCTTCCCTTTAGTATGGGCGCCGTGGCGTGTCGTTCGACTATTTTACTATATCTTTCGTATTCCCCTCTCTGAAATTTCCAAATAGCACGAATTGGTCTCTGTGTATTGTATAATAGAGTACATCGTGTTTCTATATATATATTTATATATGCACGTGTAAGAGTGATTCTTTTGTATTTTCTCGAAAAGTGTCTTATGTGTCTCCAGATGGCTGATCCAGGTGAACGCGACGCAAACGAGAGCCAGCCAATCGTCGAACGGACGCCTAGCGCCATCGCAAATCGGGTGTCCGTGTGTGATCCGGTTTGACAGAACGTTAGATACACTCTCTCTCTCTCTATTTCTCTCTTTCAACGTTAGTCGATCAAAGTTCGCGTTCGCGAGTCTCGTCACATCGAACAGTCTCTCCTCCTCCTCTTCATACCTCCATTTCATTCACACTCGTACCTCTCTCTCACTCTCTCTTTCTCTCTATGTCCTCGCTCGAACGTCTTTCACCCACGCTTCAGCACACACACAGCCGCACACCATCGAACTCGAATCCATCGTCTCCTCTCTCTCTCTTTCTCTCTCTACTCTCTACACGCTCTATATAATCTCACTCTCACTCTCGCTCTCTCGTATCTAACTCTATCTCGCGAACGGTCGCGTATACTCTTGATCCGCTGTCCCGCTGTTCGTTCCGATGGCGTCCTCTCAGGCCTGAAGGCGTCTCTCCTCTCTGCCGCTCTGCCTCTATCCCCCGCGTGTTCACACGTATACAAGATTGCGCGCGCGTCTGTCTGTGTGTGTGTGATGGACCAGCTGCCCGTACGAGAGAGGTAATACTCCCTGGCAAAGAGGTACAGATTCCTCTCTCCGAGGGATGTCGAATGTGAGAAAAAACAGGAGTCGATGAACCTGGATTGCTCCCTCGACGAAAAGGATTACACAGGCGTCGCCGTTGGCATTTACCACCCAGGCGACCCCTCAATGTGACCGATATCCTGGGGTTAACTACGTGTTCTGTTTGTATTATTTTTTTTTCTTTTCGTTTGTTTTGTATCAGAGCTACCGTGGCGACTTCCGGTTGGATACTCGTTGCTGGAGAGAGACAGAGTGGGAACTAGTGGGTGAGCAGGAATCCACGTCCGCTGCGTGCAGGCGGATCGGGTGTGTCAGGGTACGGAACCTAGACTCTGGACGACGTCTCGACGCTGGAGAGACTGGTACTACATCGTCTTGAAACGGCGGCCCGGTCTCTCTGATGATCCTCCTCCTCCTCCCTTCCTTCCTGTCCGGCGACGATGTACCGAGAATTGGCCGAGGATTGGCCACTGTTCTCTCGGTGTCCGTTCGCACGGTTTTTTAGTTGGCTACGAGGAGGTGTTGATACTGGCTGGCCGGATACGGCGCCACGGAGCCGAGGCCGAAGTTGTTCAGGCCTTCGACGAGCGCTGTCTTGTCCTGTTGCTGGCCTGTTCCGTTCACGTTGCTGTTCGTCGCGGCGGAGCCAACTGGGCCGAGGTTCGCGGCGCTCTGTGAGTTTCCGTTGCTGGTGCCGTTCACGCTGCCACCGTAGAACTGGTGGCCGGCGATCGTCGTTGGATCGAGGTAGGACGACGGGAAATTTGCGCCTGTGTAGAGATCGGCCGACAGGTAACCGCCGTGGCTGGACGAGTCGAAGATGTTACGATGAGGGAATTGAGGATGATACGCGGCTGGACCATGTTGGAAGAAGTACGCGCTTGGATCCGTGTGTTGCTGACCAGCACCAGCTACTATGCTTCCCGGGGAGAGGCTGCGTCTACGCGGTGAGCTTTGTGACACAGGTAGACCACCAGCTGCTGCCTGTTGTTGTTGCTGTTGCTGCTGCTGCTGTTGTTGTTGCTGCTGTTGCTGCTGGTGCTGATGGTGGTGATGATGGTGGATCTGTTGCTGCATGGCGCGCTGCTTGATGTAGTTCGAGAACTCGGTGGGGGACATCCTGAAAGCAACACGTTTACGTGTGGTTCATCTGTCTGCTCGCTAGTTTACTCGCTCGGTTACTGCGGTTGGAGACACTGGATGCTGGTTCGGTGAATATCAGCAGGGAAAATGGAGACTATGGGGGATTATGGGCGTAGACCTTTGCCGGTGTTCAGATTGCGAGTTAAGGGTATGCGGGTGGCTCGATAATTGTAGGTGTGTTTAATGGATGTAGGATTGGTTGGAAAGTTTGTCCTGGACGTCTCAGAGATAATTAGGTGCACTTCTGATAGCATTTCAAGTGATGAATTTCGAGATTGTACTATGTACAATAGTTGATAGCTGGCGTGTATTTAGGGACATCTGTATGTACACGTACGCAACGAAAGTGTTACGTACTGACGTTTCATTCTTTCCCATTTTACCGTCCTATATTCCACCACGATAAACGATTAACATCTCAGAGTCCAGGAACTTTACTTGCATACTGTACGATAAGGGAATTTAATTGTGGAGGGAATGGTTCATTCAGATGAGCCTGCAACCGCAATCCCCAACCCCACAGAGAATCATACGTAAAATCGTTCACCAACCTGTTCGCCCGTTTGCTGCTGGTCTTCAGCTTGGTGCTGCCGAACTTGGTCTGCGCGAAGGTGGCGGTGGTGAAGGTGAGCGGCGCGGTAGTGCGCGGTATGAAAGCCGGTACAGGACTAGGCGAGCCCTTGAACGAGCTGGTGATGGGCGTCGGCGACGGTGCAGACGAGGAACCAGATCCATGTCCGCTCTGCTGGTTGTTCGACGACCCGTTGCTCGCGTTGCTGCCCAGCGAGCTTGGGAACGGCGACGTGGACTTGGGACTGAGGCTCAGCCCGCCTAGGGACGTGCCTACGGCCTCGATGGGCCTGAAGCATTGAGCCTCGGGATTGAAGGTCTTGGTCACCTCTCGATCGGCCGAGCTGTCCTCGTGAGGGTCTCCAGTCTCAGAGTAGAGGATCTTGACGGCGTTCATCTCGCCGATACGGTAGCTCACCTCTCCAGGATCGACCCAGACAGCCAACTCGGCTGGCAGATTCTCCAGGATGTCCTGGATAGGCACACCGCTCTCTTTGGCGGCGCGTTCGAGCACAGAGTCGACGGGATCGCCGGTCTTCAGGCATCTAAACGCCGATCCCTTGAATGGCTTCTCAGGGTACCAGTGACCCTTGAACTTGTCCTTCAGCGCTTTCTCGAGCTCCTCGCCGAAGATGTTCACCCGCCTGCGTGGCAGTTTGTTGTAAAGGTACGATATCACGAAGTTGAGCGCCACCTGCACCTCGATGTGCATCTTGCCCTTTGCTGGGAGAATCTTCGGGCTGTTGCTGGTCCTCGCAGCCGCGGAATAGTACTCAGCAGGTTCGCACGATCGGCCGTCTTGCCGACAACGCTTCGCCGCCTCTCGACGATTCGCCACTAGACGACGACACCGGGCGTCGACTGTGGCGTGGAGATTTTTGGTGCCTGGTGCTGGCTGCTTGTTAAATTGAATCGGTTGTTGAGTCTGTAACAGAAGATGGAGGAATTGTTTGGTTAGGCTGGTTTCTACTTCGCGTGGAATTTTCATCTTATTTTCCGCTGTTCTACGAAATATGCAAATTTTGGAGTAACCTTTTTTGCATTTTGCAAATTTGCAAATAGTAATGAGAAGAATTTTGGGCTTAACCTGACAGCAAGTGGACAAAGTCGAGTATCGCAGCGAATATATCAGAGTCAGACTGTAGGCAAAGGTCAAAGGTTAAAGACAGAGTATTTCATTTTTCGAAGATAATATTAAGATTTTAATTAATTAAAAGAACATAACGTGCACAATTTCTTATGGCAGCAAAGAATTTTACAAAATTTATCACACAATAGTTAATATATTTATGAACATCGTCGGAAGAGTTCCTATATTAAAAAACCAGTTCTACTTCTTTTTAAGCAAATAAATACGCAATTATCGCTATTCCGAGACCACATTTCCAAGGAACTTTCCAAAGAGAAACAGTGTAGCCAATAACGAGGCTCTAGGTAGGAAAAGCCCCGCATAAAAATTCGCAAGTCACGCACAAAGGAGCCCTCTTCTCTATCGACTGTTCGAGTGGTTTTCAGCGAGTGCAAAATCACATTAAAAGAGTGCCGGGGCGAGTATCTTCGAAAGGTGGTGTTCGCTTTTACCCCGGCCAGGGCTGTGTTATCGGCTCCTTTTCACGATCGCGCATTGAAACGGAACGCCGCTTCCGGTTACTCGGCCCTCTTGCCCCCTGAACAGAGTAGAACGAGAGCCAATCGTTCTCAACGTATTCGCATAATGCCCTCCAAGGCTTCCTACGCTCCGCGACAAAGCCCTCTTATCTGAATCCTCGCCACCAACCTCGCTTTATCTGCCTGGTAATTTAGAACTCGATTACGCGCCACGCGAATTTTAATGATCGATCGGCCTGAATGGGGTTGAAACGTCTTATACCGTGACTTTGAAGACAGCTCTCGTTTGATCGTTGGCAAAGGACGAAGTGATGGAAACTGTTGTTTAATCCTCGCACTTTTCACCCTTTAAATTTTACATTAACCGAAAGTATGTAACTAAAATCACGAAATTAATAAAACGACACAAGATCACAGAAAAGTTAACAAAAAAATATTCTTCAAACGAATGGACTTTCTTCGAATCTGTTTAACCCTTTCGCGACTAGCGCCGGTTATATCCGGCATCCACTAAGCGCGTCGCATTGGCTCGCGCCTTGACAACTCAAAGTGAAGATTTATTTTAAAATACAGAACAAGGACTCGACAACATTCCCTTTATCCGATACACCCATAAGTCCTCTGCTGTTCCAACGAAATCCTCAAAGATTTGAAAAAACACGAGACACTCTTAACGTGTATGGTGTGCACTAATGGCACGACGTTAGTGGCGTACTGACGGCTAGTTCCGCCGAAAGGGTTAAGCAGTGAAATTCGTCGTTGAAAACTATGAAATTCGTCATTTTACATCATTTTTATATCTCCAATCATTTTCGAGATATTACCCCACATACGTTTACCACCTAACCTAAAAAATCGTCCACTAGAAATGTTCAATTGCAGAAGCATTCCTCTCGGAACGAATCAGTAGAAACCACTTGAGCATAATGAAACGATCCCTCAATTACAGAAACATCGCGCACGACTAAGGAGAACCGACATTCAATTAACGCGGAACAATTTGTTAAATTAGAAAAAGCCACTGCAGATACTCCGCGCGATGATCCAGCGGATCCGGAGCAAGATCCACCCTCCTTCCATCTATTCACATGTCTCGTTGCAGCAAAAATGCTTAATGGGAAACAGGAGCACTCAGACGGCGTAACTTCCTTAAGATCCTCATTTCCGCTCAAGCGACCGTCTAAAAGTCACTCGAAAAGCTCGCTGGCACGAAGGTAGGGCGGGGTGGGGCCGAACCGCTCCTCCTAGCTTTAGAACCGATTCAAAACGCGTCCACTCGAGGAACGCTCGAGCGCGTATCGAGAAGAATATTCAGCTGGTTGCACGATTACCGTGAAACGAACGCCAATAAAAGGGATTGCCCTTACTGGCGTGGCCGAGTGGCCATCTTCCACGACTGCATCTCCTCGCAATCGTGAAAGTTGCTCTCTGGACCTGAACGACAGACATCGAGAGGGAAAGCCTTTCCTTTTGTCTGCCTCCTTTTTTTCTTCTCTTCGTCCTTTTATATCCATTCACCTCTCCTTGCTTCCCTTACACTCAAGCCTGTTCCCTCGTCCCATCCCCACTTCTTCATCTACAACCACTTCTATTCCCTCTTCAAGGATTCCTGGACGACCATCGAGGCTCTCTCCGGCAGTGTCCTTCGAGTCCGTCGTCTCTCGGAACTCAATTCCGTCGCGGAACTGTTCCTCCCCTTTTTGCGCCGCGAGATCGCCCCCCGTGGAAAGGAAGGAAGAGACACTGTTTCCAAGAGGAGAGGTCCAGCAGACATTTTGCAACGTTATACGAGGGGAAGGAAGGTTCGTTGGCTATTTTCTCTTTTCCTCTTTTTTTCTTCTCGTCGTCCTTTTTGCCTCGTTTCTACGTCTCGTCCACCCCCTTCCAACTGGTTGTAACGCCACGGACGAAGGACAGCGGCGAGTTTCGCGGTAGACAACGCACCGGCCACGGGTATTTTTCAATTATACGACTGCACGCCGCCTTTGTGGCTGCTCTGCGGCTTGCTTCGCACCCCCTGGCTGATGCGGTCTAAGCGTGAAAAAATATGCCGCCACCAACCAGCCCGCTTTATTGGCGAATAAATAGCCGGCGACGTTTGAATTTTCCTGCCGGAAGTTTGTGGAATGAAGATGTCCCAGGGGCGATCAGACTTTTAACGCGTCTGCTTAATCCTGTTTAGATCGGCCATTTTTTTTACGGAATACTTGCTGAACAGCTCGGAGAAGTTTCTATGAAATTTCGTGAAAATTTGTTGAACTAAAAACTCAAGAAACTAGTGGTTAGAGTGTTAAAGTTTTTTCGAACGGTGAGTAGGTACTCAGTATTTACACCTTCTGTATATCAGCATTTTAAGCTAATTTCTCATAAGGCCAAACACTTTTTTGTTTCTTATATTGGTTTTCTCTGATTAAAAACCAAACATTTTTTGCGATTTTTTGTATGTCAAATTTTACAGTTTTCACTTTATTTAACACATTTTGAAAAGGTAAGTGACTGTTTCACGAATAGGCGACGCGGTACAGAATGTGTTAAGAGAGGTAGCCATTGAAAAGTCGCAAGGCAACCTATATTTTCTGTATTCAGTATTGAAATTTTGAAATTAAGAGAAAGTTTGATTTGGAAAGTACGAGAAGTGACGATAAAGCTTCAAAGTGTTCAAAAATTTTATTTTGAAAACTAAACAGATACGAGACTACACCTTCAAAGTAGTCCCCTTTAGACTACACACACATTTCAGTGTTCAATACATTGACAAAGTATCCAACACAATTTCAGAAAATTATAAAAAAAGCGTTTCTCTTTAACACCTTTTTCTCGAGAAAATAGCAAAAGTTTACAAGAAGACAAATCAACGCTGTGATCGATTTTGAATTTAAGAACTCTTTCGCTAGAATGTCTGAATGCGCAGGAGAGGAAAATTAGGTCGAAGCTATTTGACTCGTTTGTGAAGCCCTTTCAAGACTCGAAGATAAAGCACACTCTTTGTGGACGATTTCTTTTCGATGGAAACAGCAAATTAATATTGCGCTATGTACAAGCTTAATTGTAACACTTTGCATTGTACGAAAATTAGTTATTACCGTCAGAAAAATTTGTTTTCAAAGTGCACGGATGTAATACTCGAGTCTATTTTCTGCTGTATAGAGAGTCAATAGCTTATGTGGATCAGTATGCGGACGAAGCAAAATTGAATGGGAAGTGAATGAATTGAATACATACACTTCATTCGCCGTTGGCATTGACGTTATAATTTAGGGTTTGTGCAACCTTTACACATGACTACTCGCGTAAATTAACCGGGCTGATTTATGTAACTCGTTCACAATGCGCTGAGTGATGTTTGTTTCCGTTCTCATACACGTTTCTTTTAATTTTCATCCGACTTCTTTCCTACCTTTAAATTGCTTCTATCGAATAGTATCATTCGACGAATGTAACGTATCGCTGTTCAATTCAGCGATCAATTGATCGATCAGATCATTCAAAACACCTATTTAATCTCACAATCCTCGAAACCCTCGATTAACCCTATTCATCTTTCCATGAATTCCCATTCAGATTGCCAACGAAAGCGTCGAGTTCAAATGGTAAACGATATAAGTGGCAAAAAAATAGAAAAATAATATTTCTAATGGAAAAAATGTAAATTTCGTTGAATAAAAAAATATTTTATTAGTGGAAAAGATAGAAATTCTATGCTGGAATAATTTATTTCAGCTAAAATCGTGAGGAACAACTTCGCTACGGTTAAATAAAGATGAAAGTGTCAGCAGTCCTCGTGACCATTTATTTTTCCCCCTAAATCTATAAAGGTGGTGAACGCTGAAAGTTCGTAGAAAATCTTCACGTCTGGCACTTGTATCTTTTACCATTTCAATTCTTCAATTATTTGTCTCCCTCGAATAGCCTCATATCTCGTTCGTGGACATTCGAAGCGTTTAAAAACGACGAAAGTGTCATTTATTTCCCTTGTAAATCTACAAAAGTGGTAAATGCTAAAAATTCATACCGTTTTAGTGCTAAACGACATAAATACCAAAATACCAAAAGTGAAAATCTTCACTTCTAGCACTTGCACCCTTCACAATTTCAATTCTACAATTATTTGTCTCCCTCGAATAGCTCCATACCTCGTTCATAAACTTTCGAACCCCTCAAAAAAGACAAAAGTATCTCTTATTTCCCTTGTAAATCTACAAAAGTGCTAAACGATATAAATACCGAAATACCAAAAGTGAAAATCTTCACTTCCAGCACTTGCACCCTTCACCATTTCAACTCTACAATCATTTAATTCCCTCAAATAGCCCCACA